AACCTAAATATCTCCCACCCAGTGCATCCAATCGCATTAACTCCTTTTGTTGATACCAAATTTGTAGGGGTTAGAAAAAGTAAGAAAATGGCTTCCCTCAGTGCAAGCACTTTTTGTGGGAAGAGGAAAAGTTATATTTTTTATCAAACACATTTTGTCTTGAAATGCTGTTGGCATTTTATTTATAAGACTCTTATGAACACGTTACAGTGTTGTTTGAGTCGTTTTAAGTGTATTTGAGCCTAGAATTCAAGTGTTTAAAAAATGTAGTGGAATTTCAAAATTTTCTTTTGGAGTAGTCCAATTACTTCACATAGATTGGGGAATTTCAAAATAAATGTGATTGGACAACATTTTTTTTTCCTGGTAGTCAGGAGGATATAACAGTAAACACTTTTGCCAAGGCTTGCGTTTTCTTTTTCAAATATGTTATCAGCTGGTCTACATGGCCCGGCAGGAAGCCATTTCTCTGCATGATCCTCAATATTAAATAAGTAATATTAAGTAGTATTAAGCAATTCTTTGAACATGAGTTTTAAGAATAAGTAAGGCAGCGACAACTTTTTGGTTTGTGTTACTGTACTACCTTGCACGGCTGCTTGCTGGCGCTGTTGATTCACGACAGCTTTGTTGCTGTTTGTGATGCCAAGGTGACGGCCAACATGCGTCAACAAATACGTGTTTCGGTTATATTTCACTCGGCATTTCAAAAGTCCATCCACCGTCTTGTCAAGACGATTCTCCTTTCTTGCAAAATCCATTTTTTTTTCACGGGGAAAACTAATGCAAAGTCACTAAAAATAACATTTAAACCTAAAACAAAAAGAGCATTGAGAATCGTGACTATAAATACGTGTGTGTGTGTGTGTGTGTGTGTGTGTGTGTGTGTGTGTGTGTACAAATATATACAGTATTTATTATTCAATATATATGCCAATGTTGTTTTAAGTTCTTTTAAGTTCACGAGTTCAAGTTCCTGCTTTTATTTCAGGGCTGTCTCATGAAACTGAGGGACTGGTTTGCAGGCAACTATCGGAGCACCGGAGCGGGCGTTGTCACACTCTTTATCATCCAGGTGAGGTAACTTCAGGTTTTTATCCGCAACTTGGAATTCCAGTCATTGTGGAGTTGAACTGTGTCGAGATTTACTATGGAGTTTTAAGAATTAGTAAGGCAGCGACAACTTTTTGGTTTGTGTTACTGTACTACCTTGCACGGCTGCTTGCTGGCGCTGTTGATTCACGACAGCTTTGTTGCTGTTTGTGATGCCAAGGTGACGGCCAACATGCGTCAACAAATACGTGTTTCGGTTATATTTCACTCGGCATTTCAAAAGTCCATCCACCGTCTTGTCAAGACGATTCTCCTTTCTTGCAAAATCCATTTTTTTTCACGGGGAAAACTAATGCAAAGTCACTAAAAATAACATTTAAACCTAAAACAAAAAGAGCATTGAGAATCGTGACTATAAATACGTGTGTGTGTGTGTGTGTGTGTGTGTGTGTGTGTGTGTGTGTGTGTGTGTGTGTGTGTGTGTGTGTGTGCGCGCGCGCGTACAAATGTATACAGTATTTATTATTCAATATATATGCCAATGTTGTTTTAAGTTCTTTTAAGTTCACGAGTTCAAGTTCCTGCTTTTATTTCAGGGCTGTCTCATGAAACTGAGGGACTGGTTTGCAGGCAACTATCGGAGCACCGGAGCGGGCGTTGTCACACTCTTTATCATCCAGGTGAGGTAACTTCAGGTTTTTATCCGCAACTTGGAATTCCAGTCATTGTGGAGTTGAACTGTGTCATTATACTTTGCTGCCACATGTTAAATGAGGTTATGGTTGAAACTTTGTACATGACAGACGGACAGGGGAGGGTGTGTGGATAGAAAGACTGAAAGATAGATATTACAATAGACCTCGGGGGTGGAGTAGTGAGAAACACGTGTTTTGTTTTTCTCTAAATGTGATTTGAAATGTCACTGATTGTTTGTGAAAGCTAATTGTGTGTCATGTGTCTCATTTTCTTGCAGTTCTCTTGTCTGTGTTTTAACATCCCGCTGTTTTGTCACTTTGCTCGAAACGGACTGGGCTACCTGTGAAAAGGACGCAGTGCCAAAGTCACGGTGACCTCCATCTTACCAACTTATCAGTATTGAACGTATTTGTTGTTTCTAGAGGTAGTTGTAGTTGTTCAAGCTTGGTCTGCACTAGTTCTCGCATACATTTTATTCACATGCATGCCATTATTAATATACATTTCAAAGTAATTATTCTTTGTATATTTTCACTCAATTGTATGTTGTATTGATTAACTTTCCCCAATATGGAAGACGAATGCTGATCAGTGTTTATATGTCCTGTAACTACTTTTATCTCTCCATATATATTCACACACTGAAAGCAAAACAATTTTGATCAATTCAATGCACCCAATTCTATTATTCTGTGTTTTATCCTGTTGATTGTAAATAAAATAATAATAAATCACTGTTTTGCTTTAGCCCCGCATTCCTTCACTTAGAAACTCAAACAGTAAAGAAGGACAAAAAAGGCAAGAGCGAGGCATAACTGGAATTATGCCTGAATAGTAACTCCTGTACAATAACTTTCAAATTAATGGGAAAAAGTGTCTCTCTTGGAAACAAATGTTGTCCATCTGTCAGGTAAAATCATCACTTGTATCACTCTCTGACATTGTGTGAATGCAAAATGGCTGCCATATCCCAGCATTTTAGGGCACAGATCCCTTTGGTGTATTGCAACAAATTCATGCAACTCTAGTTATGAACAGTATAATGATTTTTTTTTTCAAATCTCTTTTTTTGTTTCTGTAAATTACTGTTTTTTTTAAATGTCAATGATTTTTTTTTTCAAATCTCTGTTTTTGTTTCTGTAAATTACTGTTTTTTTTAAATGTATTTTGCATTAATGTTGGTGTTGTTGCAAGACAAATACATTTAGAAAATTTAAGGAAAAAAGCAACGTTAGTTGTAATATTTTTGTTTTGGTGTTTTTCTAAACAAAATGAGTACCAATAAGAATAGCGTTAAGGTACCGGATCCATAAGCAGTATCATCAGGAGCTGTGGTATCATTAAAATCTTATCAATACCCATCCCTATCCAGGAAGTTATCCGAATCAGATGCCTGAGTGACCTCATCCGGCTCGTTAAAATCTTATCAATACCCATCCCTATCCAGGAGGGATCCGAATCAGATGCCTGAGTGACCTCATCCGGCTCCTTTCAAATGTGAAGAGCAGCAGCTTGACTTTGAGCTCATCCCAGATGACTGAGCTTTTCACCATATTTCTGAGAGCCAGACACCCTGCATCGGAAACTCATTTCCGCCGCTTTCATCCGGGATCGTGTTCTTTCGGCCACAATCCACAGCTCGGTGAGGGTCAGAACGTAAAGTGAGAACTTCGTTTTTTGCTACACCTCCTCCTCCACCACAACGACCCACAGAAAACATGTTGCAAATCATGGTACTTGATTTGGGACACACACTGGTGAAGAAGTTTTGGCATTAAAAGTTTTAAAATAAGAAACTATTTTTACCGTTTGAATATTACAAACTGACACTACTCATCTCAGTAAAATTAGTAGATTTTCACAAGGGAATTCAGTCGTGTATGCCTTTACTGTTACTGATCAAATTATGAAAATGACCCTTGCCTTCTGTAAACATGGGTTGTGATTTACACTCTCATATTATTAAACACACGCTAAAGTGAATGATGAATGTGTCATCATGGCTATTGGCGATTACAGGACTCGGAGCCGTCAAACCGCATTACTTGGTCTGTCTTTCAATTTAGGTGTCTCATAGTAGTTAAATCCCTGCGGCTCTGTAGAAGGTCCGCTGATGAGGGGGGCATTACTTGAAAGCATGTCCGTGCTGACAGCCTTGCTAAGACACCTGCGGCTGTTCTCAACATTTATCAACTTGCCAAGCCAGGAAATGATCTTAATATCATCTCTCGAAGGTGGAATGCTCGGCCTGATTGATGTTTCCTGTGGATTCCGTCTGAGATGTTTTCACAACAGCCTGTACTTCCTCTTCAATGTTCTGCTGACAGATTCAGTATCACATATCTTGAAAACTCAAGAAACATTTGAGGCGAGGCTCGTTCGAGTCAATCTAAATACCAAGGTCCATTAAAAGATTGTCGGCTGCTAAACAAAGACATTTTACTGTGGATTTGCTGGTTGCTCTCTTCACATTTTAAGTGATGACACTTGGAGGCTCTGTTCGAATTCTGCTGTGAATTTTGATGTTCAATTTTTGCTTTGCTGGAACCACTATGGTTTGTCTTTCTTATTTCCATTGAAAATTGTTCATAATGAGGTGATTTTTCTTTTTGATTGGATTAAAAGAGAGATATTCACATAGTAGATTGGCTGGCAACCTGTTCAGGGGATCCCCGCCACCTGTCCAAAGACAGCTGGGATAGGCTCCAGCACGCCCACGACCCACGTCAGGATGAAACGTTTCAGATGGATGGATGGAGGGATATTCACATAGTACAGGCAAATTATATTCCAAATAATTTGTGAGAGGATAAGCGGTTCGGAAAATGGATGAATTGTATACTATCTGCAGTTATCCCTCATGATCTGGCACTGTTATACATACTTTGCCTTTCATCTGGGACAGTCTCAAATTTTCTCTGCTTTTGATTCTGCACAGAATGTTCTGTGTACATAATATGGTAAGGAAGAAGATGACTGGGAAAGGTTTATCACATTTGGACTCTTGATTTTCTTGTATTATTTCTGCATATGCACTTGCCTGTTCAGTTTTGATGCAGTATCAACACATAATCATGGGACATGCATGTTATAGTAGATGGCCATGTGCAAGATGAAATGGAAATAAACATGGCCAAATCATCACTTTAGAGCAGACTTGTCATTTAATTGGCTTTTAATGATGACACGAGGAGGCCAAAGATCACGCTCAGGGGGTTCTCGGTCCGTTGCACACTGAGAATCATTAAATGTCACAGTTAATAAAGTTTGCTTGGAATGAAATTGCATTAATAATGACATCCCCTCCCTGAGCCAGCGTTAAAGTGTTTGTGTGTCTCATTGGTCCTAGCTGTCGGGGGTTTATGCCCTAGGTTGGATCACCAAGGCAAACCGGTCCAAAGTGAAGCATTGGACAAAGCAGGGCGTTACACCTTTGATAAAGACAATTTTTGGACCATATGTTTTCCTTTGCCTGGATGTGGGTATCCAGGGTTCCTGACTGGAACCAGACTTGAAGGTGGGGTGCCATGTGGAGCCTCTGGTGGCCTGCCCTGCACCAATGAACACAGCGTGAACAGACAACATGGGTCCTTTTTTACATGAGCTCACCACCTCTGTAAAGGGCAAAGGGAAATGGGTGCATTGTGAGTTGGACAATGAGCGAACTCAGAGACCTAAGTGGGCCGACAGAAGCTGGCACTAAGAGCATGGAATTTCATCTCTCTGGCCAGGAAGGCTCCTAAGCCGGATTGTGTGAGGTCAAGAGGTTCCGACTAACTCGAGTCAATCTTGCTTCATCAGACATCTGTGTCCCTCAGGTGGTCAAGGCCTCTTGTGGTGGCCGTCACCAAACCTGCGGTGTGAGTTGTCATCAGGTTGAGGAAGGAGTCCAATTGGTTATTGTTTGGTTTTTTTTTTTTGGCCTGTGGGACTGCGGGTACAGTTGATAGGTCGTGGCAGTCCAAGTGCAATGAAGCTTCGGCGACAGCCGTTGGGCAGAGAACTTGCACCTCCAAATCTGAGGCCATAGTCCTCAGTTGTAAAAAGGTTGAGTGCCCTCTCCAGGTTAGGAATGAGAAGTTGATGTATTTTGGAGTCTTGTTTACAGGGTAGGGAGGGAAGAATGGAACAGTGGATTGGTGTACCATCTGCAGTGATGTGGACATACAGTCGGGCTATCCAAGTAAAGAGGAAGCTGAATGGAAAGGTAAAGCTCCTAATTTACTGGTCGACCCACACTCACTTGTCATGAATTTTACATATTTTGTTTGGTTTTGTGGCATCGGTGAAATAAACAATGTCAGTTTTATTTTTGAATTGTGCTGTGTTGTTTGGTTGTGTAGCTTGCATAGAGGAATTTGCAGGTATTAATAGATGTGAGAACTTTGTTCGAAAGTTGGACTGTGATTTACATTTGACTTGAAATGAAAAAAATAACACTTTTTTTTCTGACTTTGATAAAAACCATCACTTGTCAAACACTTGCCCTGAGCAATCACCTTCATGTTGAGCTGTGATTGCAGTTCTCTGATGGGGTGTTTAGTTCTAACTGGGTCAGGCTAAAGTGCTGCAAATGTGGTGGGAATTATTAGCACAAAGCTTTAGAAAAATAGACATTAGTAGACAATCTTAGAAAATACACTTCTGAAAACCATGTCCAAATGGTGCTTCACTGATGTACAGAATTAATGTTTTTAGGGCAGGTTACACATATACACTAAATCCATACATTTGTCATCAGGGTGGCATACATATGACCGCTCTGATTTCAAAATAAATTGTCAATGTTGTTTCTTTCATATGTATTCACGTTTATTTGACCATTATTAGGCACAAAATATGGATGTATTTATCCTCACACTTATACACTCAGATTTCCATCATTTTAAAATTTGTATTTGCTGGTCAACAGATGAAATCAAATTGTTTGGACAGCATTGAACTGACTTAGGATGTGATGGACCTTGGCTTCGTGAACTGGACCTTGTCCCTTTTAACTGAAGACCTCTTCTGTGGTGGGTCACTGATTTGACATGAAGAGATCACAACATAAACAGAAGTCAAGAATACTTTGGAGAAGGTTGGCCTATTATTTTCAAAATGTACAACCAATTGATGTCTTCAGAGATATAGATACAGGCCAAGGAGGGAATCACATGGTGATGATTTACACGTTAAAGACAAAATCGTAAAAGATGTGTCCTTGTCCAAATATTTAGGTACCCAACTCTTACTCCAACTTGTCCTTGGCTAAATTACAGATTCCATGAGTGTCACTGCCCTGCTTCTTTCTATTCAAATACATTTTTTTAATTGTCACTTTATCTTGGCACATCTTAGCTGTCCTCTAAGTGTCTTGAGCCCTTTGTGCCATCCATTTGCAATGTATAATAAAAACAGGTCAGACAGGTAAGTGGGTCATTGCACGGCTGAAGTCGTAATTCCCTCTGGCTTCACCGCATGGTCACGTATTGTCATCTGCCAAGACATCAGACGTGTGGCGACAAGGCACGTTTTTCTGAAGGGACTCAATCAATGTGCCAAGTGACCTGTCACTGTCTGACACGGAGTCCCTGAGTTCTATGTTCTATTATCAATCCATTTATCAGTTCATCTTTTGCACCTTGGATGTCGATTATATGATGTCTTCTTCTGTCTGCCTTTTCTTTTGATTATTGTTAAACCATCGGGCTCCAATCATCTTTCAGACTTTTCAAAATGCTGTGGGCAGAACCCAGTAATCACTT